TTTCTGGGGGAGGGCTTTTTTTTTCATCTAACAAAATATCAGTTCTTGAACATGCGGATAACTTGAATCACACACATTTAGCATGTTTAGTCAAAAAGGAACAACACTCAATTTTTCAAAGCAGACTATTAAAACTTTATCTAAAAATACAACCAATCACATTCGTCGTTCTAGAGCGCTTTGCGACTGTCGTTATAAACATGTGAAACATGTGAACATGGGCTCGAATTAAGCGATGAGAGGGGCAAGGCAATCTTTTTAGGGCATGTGAGAAATCGCCTTGAATTTTCTCTAAAATGGAAGGGCACCGAGGCAATTTTAAAAGACACCAAGGCAACTCTCAAAATTTGAGAAGGGCACCAAGGCACTTTTGTAAAATAAAGGCAAACTCATAACAAATTAATACATCAACATCGTCTTGCCTTTTTTTAAATACATACATGTACAAAATAGTAGGCCCAGTTTAACATAATTTTCGATGTTATTTGCATAGACTAGACTCCTTAAAACATCTCTTAATTAGCACATTTATAATAATGTTTTGTCAGCAAATCAGCAAATCTTTTTCTTTGGCAATAAAATCATAGGCTGCTAGCCTGCTATTGTAAATACAAAGCAGTGATAACATTGGCTGCAATTTTAGCTTTTTATGTATTCCTAACTCAACAATGAATGAATGTGGACACCGAATTATGTACATAAAATTTACGAACTGCAATTTTAGTTCCAAACATTCCACATTGCTACCGAGGGGGGTACAGGGTGTACCCATCTCTTGCCTTTCTCTCCCCATCCTCACGGATTCCACCCCTCTTCCCTACGGGTTTTTGTTTTTTTACCGTGTTTGTACAGACCGTCTCCCGCTCTCACGTGTACATCGTCTTCCGCCCCCATGTACACCGTCTCCTGCCCCCATGTAAGCTTACACCGTAACACCGACCCCTATACCCCCCTCTGCTAATGGAAGTACAGTAACAAGAAATTTTACATGCCCACTATCAGGAGCGAATAATTATCCGATGCTGTTATTATTCCCTCCTGCGACTATCGGTTTCAAGCTCATCATTGCAACTACAGCACACACGCGTTATGTTGACTCGACAAAACGAAACCAGGGCAGTAGATTAAAGGGCACCGACGGCAATACACAAAAGGGCAAGGCAGGTCACTGTCGTTGGTCGGGTTGGATTTTCAAGGGCAGTATGGCTATTGAATTGCCGTTGGTGCCGTCGCCCTGCCATCATTGCTTGAGTAACAGTAACTGTCTAGAGTAACGCTAAAGCCTGGCGCACATTGCCGAACATTTTCCTGAACAAATGTTTTTGTCTGGCAATGTGCGGGTGAACAATTGCTGAGCGAACATTGCCGAACATTTTGCAGCGAACAACCTCGTGGCGCCGTCTAGTAGCTGTGTTGTAAAGAGTCACGTGATCGGCGCATGATTAGGCACAAAAATCATGTGACCACATATCGTGCTGCTATTGGTTACTACTTTACAAATGTTCCTAGAATTGTTCGACATTCAGCGCACATTGACGAACATTCGACGAACAATGTTCGAGATATCAAACATTTCCGATCTTCAGAAATATTGTTCGGAACAAATGTTCGACGACTTTTTTCACCGCACATTGCCGAACATTTCATGGAACATTGCTACGATAATGTTTTTCAGCAAAATGTTCGGCAATGTGCGCCGGGCTTAACATGTCTGAGAACCTTTGTACTTAGCTATATTCACCAAAACATGCACGGTTCAAATTTCAATTAATCATTTTGCTTTCCGCTGCCATATCTTGCAAATCTCTGACTATCTCACGATAGCACAAGATAACGGAGAAGCGTTGAATGTGTTAACGCATCAGTCAAGTGATCAACATTACTGCCATTACCATTAGTTGAACTGTGCGTGTGCACAGTGATCACATCACCACTGATAATAAAATGTACAGTATACAATCTATAATTATCCAAAACCCTTGGGACCAGACACGATTCGGAATTCGGAATTTTCCAGATTTCGGAATGGTAGTACAGTACAGATATATACATACCGTATATCCTGCAACTAGATACTAAGACACGAAGGATCGTTGTCGTATCAGGTACTACATATATGTACCCGAGGTAGTTTTATGTTGTTTAGTATTATGTTTATATTTTTATGAGGTATGTTTAGGGTTAGGGTACACTTCTGTAGTACAAGTCTGGTACACTTTGTGTATACATATATGTACCTCGGGTACATATATGTAGTACCTGATACGACAACGACCCCTTCAGCGACACTAAGACAGTACTAAATTACAAGTTTTCAAAAGGCCAAGTGCTGTACTGACCAGTACAGTACAATATATGTATGACTCTGAGTAATGCCAAATATTAAAGGAATACTTTACTCTACAATTTGAGAGTAAAAATAATAGCACATACCTATAAATATCTATAATCACGCATGCATGTTTGTCATAAAACAACAATGAATTTCGAAATCATCATTTTTGGGCGCTGACATGACACCCGTGACCGTGCCGCCACTCTGAAAAAGTTGCGCATTTGCCTATTTATTTTGCACATTCGGCCTACAGAATGAGGGCTAATAACAAAGATGCTATTATATTAATACCTAAATGGTATTTAACCGAACGATATTCATTTTACAAAGACAATTAAATTTATCCGTATTATAACTGAAACTATATGTCATTTATAAGATATTGCAATCCTTCTGCTTTTAAATTAATAAATAAGAAACACCCCTCGGTCTGCATGTAGCCCTTGGCTGAAAAGTCCATTTGCGCAACTTCTCAGATAGTGCGCTTTGAGTGGCGCCATGGTCGTTGTAATCAAACTGTAGTCGTTAGTTTTAAA